TATATATTAATAGAAGTAATATATGTTTTCCAGAAATAAGGTTTTCTTTGGATCCAAACACAAGTGATAGGTAAAACACAAAATGACAAATTGAAACCAGAAACTGGGATAGTGGTGTCCCTTTCCCCCAACTCATTGGTGAAAAGAAGCTTAAAACACTACTGCTGGCAGCAACCAGAACCTGTGGCTTCCATGGGCTGTATCTGCAGGAGGCAAGCTCTGGTAGACACGGATGTAGAACGAAGACCAGACCTGAGCCACACCAACGACAAGCTCAGTAACTAGGGCTAGACTGTCTTTAGATCATTAATATAAACTAAGTTCTGGTCTGGGAGCCTGGAAAAGACTGAGTAGGGACAGACGCTGCAACTAGAGAGTTAGGTAGGAATGAAGAGAAAAAGAAGGAATTTCCTTCTCCATATGCAGATACAACCCAAAATCCTAAACACAAGGAGACAGCTCAGCTAAGAGAAACTACAAAATGTTAGCAGCAGAATATAAATGTTCTCTAGGTGCTATGAAATTAATAAAACATTTTGAAAAATATTTATAAAATGTTCATGTAATCAAGAAGATAAATATATGGTAAATATGAGTAGAAAAGAAAAAAATACAGAGACAAAACAAGAACAGGTAGAAAATGAAAAAGAGCCCATTAGAAATCTTGGAAATAAAAATATAATTACTAAAATAAGTGTTTTTTAAAACTATTTAAACTCTAGACTGAACACAGGCATACAACAAGTAAATTGAAAGGTAGTACTAAGGAAACTGATTTAATTTCCTTAAACTAAACTTAGCAGTGAATAAACATATCTCCATTCCTTAAAAGCGGTTCGCTCTATGGTAAAAAATGAGCTGGTCTGTGAGAGTCGGGCCATACACCCAAGGAAACCATGTATATAAAGAAGAAAAAGGTAATGAAATCTCCCACGTCCACTTGTAAAGCTAGAGTTTACTTCATGTAGTTCTGTTATCATTTCGTAAGTCCTGAATGTCCCCAGTTTATTGCTGTCAGTGCGTGCTTTTAGACTCACCTAACTTAGATGGTCTACTAAGTTGATAAGAAATATGAGTCCTGTCCCTGGGCAACTTACTATCCAGGATAAATCTGAAGCCGATTTACCCAGAACCTCACAACTACTATGTCTTTTC